AGTGGTATGGCCATGGTATCACTTTTGGAAGTCCTTACACACATGTCACCACTTTGGGGGCTGGGAGTTGTCCCTGGGAATACATCCATTTCACAAATCCTGAAATCAAGGTCCCAAGGAATGAAAGGACTTTGTCCATTCAACAGGCACTCTTAGGTGTTCTGCCCTTCAGCTGGTCCAAAAGGCGCCTGTCTCATTAGAGGGGACAGAGGGCTCTCTTTTCTCACTCCAACTAGCATGTGTGTGGAGGGAGTGTTCACTCAGCTCAGTTCTCCCCTTTGTAGGGAGACCTGCAGTGTTAAATGCTTGAGCACCAATCCCCAAATCCTTCAATTTGGGCAAATCTAACATTAGTAATGGATCCACCTGCCTTCATATCTATATGGTAGTTCATTTACATAATTAGTTCATAAAATGGTTTTCAAACTAAAATTATACTCTGTGTGTTTTCTCTTGAGTATATGAGTATGTTAGTTACAGGCCCTCCCCCACTCGCCACAACGAGATAGCTTCAATCACCAACTGAGACCCATTATTCTTGCAGTTGGCAAGGAGCTGAGGAGTCAAGATGTGCGTGTTTCAGGGTTTAATTTTCAAGCAAGAATAAATAGACCATTATGTTCCCTTTGCTAAACTGAATGTAAAAAACTTTATGGACAAAAAAATGCCACTGATTTTTTTTGACACAAGGAATTTTTAGTGAAGCATTGTTTTTATCTCTTCCTGAGTCCAAGTGGAGATTCACATGTTTTGCATGTTTCTTGCATTAAATTTTTATTGTGTGCATGGAAATCAATATTCCAGATACATGCACAAGTGCACACATTAAAATGAACATGACTTCATTTATTTCCATGATTAGACATTCAAATAAAAGTGCTTGGGTGTCTGTTTTCATATTCATAGGTCGAGATCCGTACATCAGAGGTATTTGTATAAGTGACACTTTTATTACATTCATTTCATTTGCAATATGATAGTGGATCATAAATATGTTACTTTTATGCCACCAAATCTGATTTGTAGCACTTAGCCCCTCACAAGGAGAATACTTGATATTTTATGGAGCACCTTTAGTCCAAGAAATGCTTTGCAAACATCGGGCCAGGTTCTATCAGGTGTATAAATCACATTCATGACCCTTCGGCTTCCCCCCTTCCCCTGCTACTTCATCAACCTCCTGGCTACTACTGCAGGGGTAGAAAGCAGTTAGTGATTCCTCAGCAGGCTCTGAGGTGAGAGAGAGAACTTTAATTTGTAGAAGCAAGAAGCTCAGATGAGCTCTGTTTTGTGGCGCACAGGCCTTGACAGCGGGTGGAACTCCACATTCATCACATGGCATCCTTTTCATTCACAAAACAGGTGCTATATTAAGCTCTGGGAACATGGAGGGTCATAAAATATGCCCTGTGCCTGCCAGTTACAGCCTAGGAGGGGAGTGGGAAGCAGCTGAGAGGCAGGTGCAGCAGTGTGTGCCTCCCAGCCTGTCTCCCCACTCACGCCCAGGGCATGTTGGAAAGCAGCTTGGCAGACCCCTAGGCCCATCATGGATATGCAGGGCCCAGTCGGGTACTGTTGGACCGAAAGGGGCAGAGGCCATTGGACTGCATGCCTGCTCACCCCAGGTCCCCGGAGGAGAGTCATGGGCTCTCTGCTGGTCTCCCCTTCACTCACCCTCCCCTATCCAGGGCGGGGACCTGCGAGCACGGGAGCCCACGGCAAGGTGTGTGCAGCTTCCCTGTAGCGTCCCTGATAACTCGACACCACTGTGTATATGTGACAGGCACAGCAGGGCACACTAGTGACAAGCAGGGGCCCTGGAGCCATTTCCTGAGTCCAGAACCTGGCTACATCGCTTACAGGATGCACAGCCTTGGGGAGGTCACCTGCCTTCCTGGTTCTCCACTTTCCCATCTGCGTAGAGGACAGAATGATGACACTATGCTTTCAGGTTTTTGTGAGGAACAAATGACTTTCTGTGACTACAGGATCCCAATAAGTGCCTGGTATCCGTTACAAGTAATTTTAACTTACACTGTCAACACTGTAATAAATAATCCTCCAGTTTACGCCTCACAATACATGTAATAATGGTGATGCTGGTATTTTTCTCACTATTGTTACTGACACTGTTATTATGTGATTAATGCCCATCTCCCACCATACATAAGCTCCATGGCAGCAGGAACTGTCCCGTCATTTCACCGTGTCACCCCCACAGCTGACAGCACATGGTAGATGCCCAATAAATTTGAGTTGCATGAACGGACAGAACACTGAAGGAACAAATGAGTAAGCCTCCTCATTTGGTGCTTCTCCAAAAGTATCATTTTTTAAGAACACATTTCCTCTACCGCTGACAGCCGTGCACCCCACAGTGATGCCCACACTTTCTGGGGATTCAGGTCCACCCATTTCTACAGGGAAGAGCCTTGAATTCTTCATTCTTCGTAAAGAAACCACAGAAGTCCTTGCAGTAGACTTCCCCACCCAGGCCCCCTCCACACGTGTGTCAGTCCAGGAAGAGGGGCTTGAGACAAGCGGACGCCTTGGGGCTTGGCTCCAGGCAGTGAGCAGCAGAGCAAGCACTCAGTGCAGGTCCTCTGCCTCCCCTGCAGCACCTGTGTCACCCGCAGCCCCTCACTGTGCCCTGCGAAAGATGAGCCCCTGCCCTGCCCCAGGAGCTGCCAGCCACAAGACCTCAGCGGGGCCAGCCGTCCCCAGGAGCTGGGCAGGGCCACCATTCCCAAGCCTCTGTGGCTTTCTGTGCACTGTGCACTCAGGTAGAATGGCCGCTTTCACCAAAGATAGTGTCTAAGTCAGTAAGTACCAATAATGTTTCCAGGGTTCCTCCATGTTGTAAAATCTATCTGTACTTCATTTGGAAGACAGTTAATTTCCGTTGTGTGGATAAGTCACATTTTGTTTATCCCTTCATCAGTGGATGGACATTTAGGCCATTATGAGTAACACTGTCATGAGCGTTCATTTCATGTTTTGCATGCACATCCACTTTCAGTTGTCTGGGGCAAATTACCCAAGGGAGGAACGGCTGGATCATGTGCTAACTCTATGAGTCAACTCTTAAAAGAACTGTCCTCTGCGTCTTCAGGGCTGTGTTTGGGAAAGACCCTGGTTGCTTAGATTTGACTTTGGCATTGGAGGAAGAGGGCAGAGGCAGAGGCAGGCAGAAGGGGGGTCTAGACTGTTGGCGGCACCCAGAGCCTGTGGTGCTCACAAGAGCCCCAGGCTGCAGCCTCCCCTCCCAGCTCCATCTTAGGGCTGCCGCAGAGCAGGCATCCTGCTCCTTGGACTCTCCCTGCTGCAAAACTGCACACCCCTTCCACATGCCTCCTGCACCTACTGGAAGGGGTCTGATCCCAGAGGCCCTGAGGGACCACTCTGCTGGAAAAGGGTACCGTTGAGGCCGAGTCGTATACTCATTTCTCCAGTGACTAGAACAGTGCCATTTCAGGGTCCCGGCGGGAAGGAAAGCATCACGAGAGAGATTCTCAAATATGTCCTCTCCCTTGGGAATATGTGGGTGCAAGTGAGGAAGGAACGCGCATAAACTTGGGCCCTCCTTAGCTGCACTGAGGCTTCGTTTCTACATCTGTAAAGTGGGTCTAAAATTGCTTGCTTGTTAAGGGGACCAAATGAGATTCTACGGGCATAGCTTCCAGGAGAATGTTCCAGACACCCACAGACATTTCCCCTGTTCCCTGCTGCTCATCCTCATGAGCAGGTGAGTGGGTTCTAGCTGTGGTTTCTTAGTACCATTCTCCTGCTGTCCTTTTTATCCTTTCCTCGCTCCTGCCCACCCCGCCCCCTCTCTCCTTTCAGCCCTTCTCCCCTCCTCTCGTTCCTTTAATTGTCCCTCAGCTCCTGCCCCAGACAGGGTCTGGGAACTCTCCCAGTGAGGACCCGGGGAGCTGCCGGTTCTCAGCTGCTGTGCCCTTTCGAGCCAACGCAGGCCAAATCCGCTTAGGGCAGATCAGATTATGCCTGGGTCATTTTATACCACAGATTCCCAGGTCACAGTGGTGGCATACATAGCCAGGCAGTGTCCAGCCCAGCACCCCTGGGTCACCAGGAAACATGGACTCCCTGGAGGTGGGTCACCGGGTCGGGTTTCACCTGTCCACCTCTCCGCGTTTCAGTTTCCTCCCCAGGAGATCCTAGCCAGAGGCTAGAGCATTAAATTACACTCGATTTGTGGTCATCTGAGATGCTGTGCCACGGGAGGACACTGCACCTGTGTGTGCCGCGCTCCACACAGTGGCAGACGACACACACCTGCTAAGATTCAGCAGGCCAGATGGGACCTGGAACTGGGTGGCAGTGAATGGATGGGTGGCTTTCCAGGCCTAAGAGTTTCATACTGTTTTCAAATAATATTGTAAATAACAAGAGACAATATGGTTAATACAGAAAGTTTAGCAAGCAGAAAAACAGGAAGGGACAAAAACTATAATCCTATCATCCCTAAGATAAATCTCTTCAACTGTTTTCTTAATTCAGAAAACTGAAGTGGAAAGAAATGAAAATGCTTAACTAGGAAATGCTATTATTGGTACGTAGTCATAGGGGCTGTGTTCAAGGACCTGTCTCCCAGGCAGAAAGAGTTTGCTCACAATGTCTCTCAGGACTTCCTCTGTAGAATTGGGAATGATACTCTTGGAAAAGTTCTCCTCCCTTCAAAGAATCTAGCCACACAGGAAGTTCTCTGACACACGCTAGGCTCGGCCTCCTGGTGCACCTGAGGTCTCCCTGCCAGTTGACTGGCTTGTATGGACCCAGAGAGACAGGCTTAACACTCAGCCTGCTCTGCTACTACCCAGTCCCTTCCCAAGTGGCATCTGTTTATCCCATGTTTCCTTGGTGTTCCTGTTCCAAGTGTCAAGTGATTCCAAGGCAGCACTAAGAGGGGGAACCTTCTGGTGCAGGCAGCCCAGGCCCAGCAATTATGGCCTCTGATTTGCCTTCTCTCTCATTTCCAGCTGTCAGGAATGACAGGAACAAGAAAAAGAAGGAGCCTTCGAAGCAGGAATGCACAGAGAGCTATGAGATGACAGCTGAGCTGGACGATCTCACAGAGAAGATCCGGAAGGCTCACCAGGAAACCTTCCCCTCACTCTGCCAGCTGGGTAAATACACCACGGTAAGAGGCACTGGGTTGTGGGCACAGGCCCTTGCTCGTGTATACACATATACACACCACACTCACATACACACACACACACACACACACACACATACATACACGTGCACATACCTTGTCCTGGGTCTGGCAGGGATGTCCTCCCAAATTTAGCCTAGAACATGTGTGTCAGCCACATGGGATGACACAGTAGCCACTTTCTTCCATATGGTAGGCCTTGGACAGTCACTGTGTAGGATGAATTCTTCCCTGATTCAGTCACACATGTGCATTTGCTCAAGAGGCACTAACTGAGCACTTCCTGTATCCCAGGATGTCTGCCAGGTACTGGCAACGGGAACCATTCGTTGTTGCTCCCCAAAATTTTGGTCTAGTAGAGATAAATCAAGCCAATGAAGTACTGTATTATATGAGTTGTGACAGACACTTACCTATACAGAGCCCAGATGGGACCCCAAGGGGGTATGGGGTCAATCTTTTTAAAATAGCAATCTGGCCCTTGAATCCAGTCAAGATTAAGGGGCCAGGTTCTGGCTTCACTCAGGTATGTGTAAAAATCCCAACCAGCACGTGGAAGAACACAGGGTGACCTGTCCCTCTTGGATGGGTGGCCCCCTCCGCTCCCCACTGTGCTGTAAAGAATGGCTTTCACTATGGCTAGAAACCAAGCTGAAGGAGCGAGAGAGGTGAGGTAGCAGTGGGATGGATGCATGGCTGTTCCAGAATGTGCAGTGGCGATGTCTCGAGGTTCTTCCTTGTTCCCAGTGGTTCTGCATGTATTATATTCACTGATGACATTCCTAGTTCGTGGCACAGAGTAGGCTCTCAATAGATATTTGACAAAGGAATGACTGGATGGAACTGTGGTGTTGCTCTGGCCTCATTAAATGGCTTACAGTGCTTACTTAAGACCCAGGAAATGTATTTTTTTAAAAAACTGCAAATGTTGCAGCATTTGGTAGATTGTACTGGATGTGCTAGAAAAATAATAGTATGAAAGGTCCCACGGATTAAAAAATGAGGGCCGGGGATTTAGCTCGGTGGTTCTGCCGCCTGCCTTGAAAGCTCAAGGTCCCGAGTTCAATCCCTGGTACCAAAGCCCAGGGGGGAAAAAAGAGGAACAGTGAGGGGAGATGCTCTGAAGGCATTTGTGAGGAGTGGGCCACGTGCCCTGGATGTCGTGCCACAGCCACATCTGTGAAGTGGGAGTGGCGGCAGGGCCGGCGCGGAGGGGTCTATGGAATGTGGCACTGGAACACACCCAGCAGCTTCCCCGGTTGCTGGACATGCAGGGCCCCAAAGGCGGTGGCATCGAAGATAGGCAAGTCGCCTGACCAAACAGGACTTTTGCACATTTGGAAGCACAGGGGCCTCCCAGCGCTCCATGTGCACCAGCAGCAGCTGGCCATCCTGTTAACCCACAGTGTCTGCTCAGCAGGTCTGGGCTGGGTGTTACACACAGGCTCCCAGTGATGCTGCTGCTGCTGCTGCCTGCAGACCCCACTGAGCAGCAGGGGCTGTGACCGGCACTTAGAGGAGCAAGACCAAGATGACCCTCTGGGGCCATGCAGGCTCCTGTCAGGGAGGAGCAGACATGGGCTTGCCTGATGGGCTGAGGGAGGCTTGGCTTGGAGACCAGCCCCTGCTGAGCTCAGGTGCTCTGTTCTCATCCAGAGCAGGACACAGAGCAAGACAAGCCTAGATGCCTTTAAGAGAGTTGTCATTTGAACCTGGGAGGGAAGCAGAGGGTGTGGAAAGTGAGGCCTTGTATCAAAGCAAGGGCCTGGAGCCATATACCTGTAGGTCAGATCCTGCTCAGCCATCACCAGCTTTGTGGCTGTGAGCAGCTTTCTTAACTTCTCTCACCCTCACTTGTCCCACCTGTAAGTGGGGAAAGTATGCAGTGATGGGAAGGATGAAATGATGGGAGCTGTGACATGATGGAGATGCCATCCACTGCACATCCATCATCTGTGTGTGAACAGACCCCAGGGACTGGCCCATGCCAGGTGCTCTGATGACACGGAGGAGTCAAGTGATTAATAACCGATGCCGAGGGGCATGCTATTTATGCCTCTTGGAAATTCATTCTTCTGGTACCAGGGATCGAACTCAGAACCTTGTACTTGTGAGGCAGGCGCAGCACCACTGAGCTACATCCCCAGCCCTGCCTTTTAGAAATTCTTATTATCACCAGCCATGCTTTAGGCACTAAATTGGGGTACGTGTCCGGCTGAGCCAATGACTCCTGACTGAGGAGATGGGGAAATGTCTTGCACAGAGAAAGTAGGAAATCTCTAAAGGAGAAGCAAAGAGAAAATAGGAGCCACAGAATTGAGAGTACGGAGAAGGCAAAAAGCCCTGCAAAAACGCCAGCTGAGGAGAATTTCCATCTATAAATAATGGAGAGTAACTGACAGTTTATGATAAGTCTTCATCATTTTTATCATGATTATTACAGCTAATATTTGTTAAGCATTAACCATGTACCAAGGACCATGTTAATTGCTCTAGACATATTCTTTCCTTGTTCTGAGAACTCTGCAAGTAGATATTATTACCCCACATGCAGATGAGTCCACTGAGGATGGAAGGGCTATGTAATTTTCCCTTTTCCTCCTGCTCAACAAGGGATGGAGGAGGGACTTGAACTGGAACAGTCTGACTCCAGGAGCTGATCTTTTAACCATTAGATCAAGAGCACAGAGGATGAGGTAGACTGGGGAGCAGACAACATTGGAGACGAGTTAGAAGGAAGTATCTACTTTCCAGGAATGATCAAACGTTTACCTCCAGAAAAGAAAAAGAGGTCAGAGCATGGAATCTTCCTGGAAGAGGAGACTTTTGAGTCATGCAGGAGCGAGACACAATGTCTGGCCGTACCTGGGCTCGTGCGCTCCCAGATCAGGGCCCCTCCTTCCAAGGTGAAGGCCCTAGCATGGCCTAGTCAGCCCCCAGCCTGACTCACGTGGTAACCAGGAGAAGCAGCCCCATTCTAATCTTCAGGGGCACAGGACAAACTGAGTTCGTGGCACTTGCTCCCTCCTGAAGCACACACCCTCAGGTGGCCTGGGTCTGCTGGGTGGGTGGCTCATGTGTGGGATACCCACGTGCCTGCACCCTCCTTGCCACTCGGACAGGATGGTTTTCAGGTGTTCCCTAAGATGCCTCCCAGAGCTCCGGGCACGCCCAAGCCCTGGAGGCCCCTATGATGATCAACACTGACCACCTGCCTCCCCAGCCCTAGCCCCTCCTCTTCCCGGCTCCCTGTGGGGTCCTCCTAGCTACCTGCATTCAAGTCCTACTTTTAGGATCTGCTTCTGGCCCCAGGGAAGGGGCCTTCCCCCAGACTTCCCAGGCCCTTCCCCATCCAGCCTGCTTTGGGGACACCACCACCACCAGTCGGCGGGGACCTATCATCCTAAGTGCTTCACGGGGACTTTCCTGTACCTCACTCAGTCAAGCAGGGAAATACAAATGCAAGCTCACCTCAAGGTTGGCACCTACCCACAGGGCACCCTGGCCTCCTCCAGCTGCACGCCACCCACTCACTGCACTGAAATGCCTCCCATTGCCTCTTGGTTGCCTATTTCCACTATCGCTATGCTTTGTTTTCATCGTAAGCTGCTTCAAATCCTTTCTGGAAGTAGGTGGGAATATAAATAAATAAGAGCAGCCATAATACATTCTGTGAAAGCTCTCAGTTCCAAGCTGAGCATTTTTTAAGAGAGCTTTTTTTAGATAGACAGTTGCTTGCACGGCAAGAAGCTTCCTGCCACATTCCCTGGAGTGGCATCCCTGTCACATGCCTTCAGAACAAGTGGGCAGAGAGGGAGAAAAAGGCAGGCAGCCAGCCGCCCACCTCCAGATCTTTCAGAGAGGCCCTCCTTTCCTTCCCTAATTAGGGTCAATTTGGGACAAATGATCACTCTAAGACGGGAGGCGACAGGAAAGGATGGGGCCGAGTGAGACTTATGTCCCTGCCCTTCACCCCAGGCTGCGCAGGTTGCCCACCTACAGGCCTTGGAGCCAATGTCCTTGGGAAGGTTTCTAGCTCTGACCCCTCTCCACACAAAGAAGGGGTGGACTCCACGAGGAAGGGAGAGAACGGGCAGTGCTAAGCAGAGCAAGGAGGGAACCAGAGGAGACGTCTTCACTCTGAGGATGTGGACTCCGCTTCCTTAGGCCGATCCAAGCAACTCAGCCACTGGGCTTTGGGACTTCATTGTGCCAAGTTCAAACCTTGCCTGGACTCCTTAGGAGGTGCATGACCTTGGAAGCTTTAACCATTACTGGAGTCACCTTTGTCATCTTATAGTAGGAATTGTAATGGTGGCTACTTTGTGGGGTGGCCTGAGAGGTTCAGTGAAAAAAATGTGTCAGAGGACCTCACACAGTTCCTGGCAGAGAGGCGCTGAGCAGGAAGGGCGCATTTTCTCCTCTCCGTCCTGTGGGAAGCATCTTATTATAGCCACAGGCTCAGGTGCTGAACAAGGAAGATGGGTGTGACAAGAGTGTCGGGGCAGCACGACCCCAGCCCAGGCCATCTGCTCCCCGTGTCCTGCCGCTCTGCCTCCTCACGGGGTTTGGAGGGACACAAGCTGCACCCCAAGGGGGTTCCTGAATTTTAACTGTGAAGATTTAAGAAGCTCTTAATCTTCTGAGAAAATGACCACAAACAGAATCTGTAACCCACCAACAAACTTTCTAGGAGTCGTGCTTTGGCAAACGAAGGCTATTGTGAGTGTTTCCAACCATTGGCAGACTCACCTTTCGCTTTAGAAAGTTAACATGCCATGGGCTACTGAAAACCTGAGCTCTGGTCCCCACTCTGTCACCTCAGAGCACTCACCTTGAACCAGCCATAATGCCACGAGCCTCAGCCCTTTGCCAGTGAACACACGTGCCTGCCCACATTGCCTAGACCACTCTGAGTTCCCAACACTTACAACATTTACTATCCACCCACGATGCTCCTGTCTTACGCCTGTCGTAACAAAGTAATGAAAACACTGGGAGACTTGAAGCAAAATTAACTTATTCTCCCATGGTGCTGGAGGCTCCAGACAGAACTTGAAAGGACACCCATCTGTTAGGATGCGTGGAAAGGAGGCAGCAGCCTCAATGGATGCCCTCGACATTCCTATAGAACTATAACTCTTTATACTTCTAAAGCAATTCTTCATTTTCTCCTTAGCCAAATAAGCCCTGAATAAAATGCAGAAAATGCCACCTAGAATCTGTCATAAATCGTGCTTTAACAACTACGGTGATTCAGCCTCTATGTACAGGTCTTGTTCCAAAGGTAACGCCCATCAGAAAAGCACCATGCATTACAGCACAAAACCAAACCAGCAGAAGAAAGGGATCCATTTGTGTGGTGGAAATTGCCATTTAATTGGATTTTATCGTGGGTTTGAGCTTTTCTGTAGCTTAAGGTGGCCCTGGGGGGCCGTAGGGTGCTTTCCTCCATATGGGCAGCCCCACACTGCATTCTGGGAAGGTACCCTGGAGCTCCTATCTGAGAGGCTACCCATGGACGCCCCAGACCCGACTTTCCCTCCGCAGCTGAGGCAGGAAAGCCGCATACTGGTCAGCCTCTGCTCTTCTGCTTCTCCTATGGCTATTCTCGCCGTCAAGCAGGGCCTCTGCTCCCTACCATGTCTCCCCTCTCCTTCCCCTGCATCCTAGTTTCCCTCCCTGCACATTTTAAAAATGCCCCTGAAAATCCTGGCTTCCTCCATGCTCCCTGTAACATGGTCATTACCAACCCAGACAGGCCAGGGCTCTCCATTTGTCGCAGCTGGAAGATAATATATAAGCCATTTTAAACCTCATGCCTATGAATCCAGCAACCAGTATAATAAAACACCAGGTTATTTTGTGTTTTATTAACTGCCTCATCCCTTCAGTTTGCATAATAGTGAATCAGATTTACATGCCGTTACCACAGCTGTGCATTATTTTTAATAGAAGGTGCGACAGGCTTCTCTCTCTCCACCCAGCACATGATGAAGTAACCTTCATCCGAGGCTGATGAAGATTTCGTTCACACTTGCTGGGTCGGGCAATGTCCTTTTTCCAGATGGATACTCTATTGTAAAATGATTTCCCATCGTGAGCTTGCCTCTCTGTCCCTCTCTTCCATGTCATCTTCCCACGAACCAGATAAATTGCCTATTAAATTTAATTACAGCCCGAGTAGCCGCACATTTTGATCTTCTGTTCCCCTGAGTGTACTGTATTCCACCAAGGTCCTTGAAGAAGGAATAAAATAAATCCAGAGGATGCATGCTTACTGTCTGCATGGAGTGTTGGGGAAGGCAGTGAAGACCTCCCTTTTTTAGGGTGTCTGGCCTTCCTTATGCAAACTCTTGAATTTTCTTGCAGACATTAAAAGCAACAGCTAGTTTTATTGACTCCTGCGGACTGATTTTAACTGATGTGGAGAACTAAATATATTAGTTTGTGGTGCAGAGTACCCTTTATTGAGCTTGGTACATTTGTCAGAAGGCCAAGCACCAGCCCTAGGGAGCCTTGCCTCTTATGGGAGGGTTCAGTCCTGCCTCTGAAGGTGGCAGAGTTCAAGCCCTCATGAGCAGTTCTAGGCCACTTCCTGGGAGAAGCAGCGGCTCTGAACCTTGGCCTCAGAATGAGTTATTTTGAGACATTTGAAACAAGCAAGGACTTTTGGGAACTTCACTCATTGAGTCATTCAACAAACTTTCTTGAGTCCCTGCTCTGTGCTCACTGGATCATCAGTGTTCTGATGATAAAAACAGATGAGATCGTGTACATTAGGAGACAAGGGCTGTAAGCATGGGTGGGATGGAGTGTGTAGTGCCAGGGATGCCAGGGTACTGCAGTCTTCCTAGAGGGGCCAGGGGAAAGTTTGAGAGAAGGTGGCATTTGATCAAAGGCTGGAAGGAATGAGGGGGTACCTTCTGCAGCAGTCTGGGGAGGAATCCAGGTTGGGGAAGCAGCCAGTGCCAGAACTGTAGCAGGAGCTTGCCTGGCTTCCTCGGGTGGCAAGAAGACCTGTGTGGGTGGGGCTGGGGGACATAAGGGTCAGTCAGAGGAGGGGCCTGATATGGTAGGGTCCGAAGCCCTCCAAAAGGACTTTGGCTTTCAGCTTGAGGGAGATGAGAGAGCAGTGGAGATTCTGAGCAGTGGCTTGTGTGTTTTAAGGAGCCCCTTGTCGTTTTGATGAGCATAGACTTGGTTTGCTGAGGCCAGGGTGGGAAGAGGGAGAGCAGTGAGCAGCCTGTTGCACTAGCCCAGGCAAGCATGGGTGGGTGGTGGGGAGGTGGAACCTCTTTCCTAAGTCCTGACAGTTCCCAAATGCATTAGTCAGAATTCTTGCTGATGGCAGGTGATGGAAACTAAAATCAACTTAGATTTAAAAATACAAAAATCCATGTGTAAACGAGGCATGGCTTTATCCAGCAGCTCCTTGTCTTCAGGACGAGCCACTCTTCTCTTTCATCTAAGCTTTTCTCTAAGTTGGCTTCATTTTTATAGAATCTTTCTCCCCCTGGTGGCCCCTAAAACTCTTGGCAACAGACTCTGTCACTAACACAGCTCCTCTTAGTTCTTCCCACCAAAGTCCCAGACCTGAGTGTCATTGGCTTGCTCTGAATCACATATACTTTCCTTAACCAATCACAGTGTCCAAACGGTGGTAGTCCTCTGATTGGCCAGACTAGAGTCCCCTTCCTGAGGTCAAAGCCAGGAGTGGGACAGGCTGAGACCCTTGGCTCATCTGGCACCATGCATAAGGCCACTGGGAACCCTTGAGATGCTAAGCATTTTTGTTGTGTTATTATTCACAATTGTTGTCACTTTTTTGTATTTCATTTTTATTATGAAAAAAATTTCAAACATGGACATGAAACTAGAATATTATAATGAGCCCTGTGATCACAGCCTGTCTTACCTTGAAAGTTTCATATATACTCTCCACTGCATGTCACTTTGAAGTAAATTGCAAACCCATAAATATTTCAGTATGTATTCTAAATCAAAGTAACATCTGCAAACAAAGCAAACTATCAATGCCATAACTAACCCCTAAAATAAAATTAACATCTCAAACACTGTGATCTGTCAGATTTCTAGTTTTTTCCTCATGTGTGTCAGTCTCTTTACAGTTTGCTTGAATTAGAATTTAAATACCTAAATAAGTCCCTTAAATAGTTGTTTGTTTTGGGGGTTTTTTTGGTACCAGGGATCAAACTTGGGGCCTTGTGCTTGTGAGGCAGGAGGCAGAGCCACTGAGCTAAATCCCTGGCCCTCCTTAAATAGTTTTTAAGTCAAGTTTTTAAGCATAATTTATACAATTTAATTTTTTTTACCTTCCTTAAAGATATGGTTTGATGAGTACAATGGAAGTACACAGTCATGTAACCATGACACAAAAATGTACAGCATATCCATCATTCAAAAAAAGGTTCATTTCTTCATGTACCTTGTGATCAACCCCTGTAAACTAGTAACATGGTCTCTGTCGCTATGGTTCTGCCTTTTCCAGAACACCATGTGAATGGAGTCATTCTATGTGTAGGTGTCTATGTCTGCCTTCTTTCATAAAGCACAATGCATTTGAAGTATATCTGTATTGTATCATGAACCTGTTTCCTTCCTTGAACGCTCCCTGCCATTCATTGCATAGTTGCAGTCATCTTTTTTCATTTGATAATATTTGTACATTAGGTTTCGTTCACTTTTAATCCTTTTTTCCCTTTGCAATGCCTTTGTCAAAAAACTCCATACATTGGTTTTGTAGGATTTATCAGTTTTATAGGCATTCCGGATGTTGATAGTGGCAGCCTTGTGATTTCCTTGGTTAAATCTAGAGGCTCTATTTAGTTCAAGTCTGACTTGGGCCAGACTCTTTCCTAGGCTGTGGTGTATTTTCCCCATGAGGGTACCCGTGTGGCAAGTTGCCTGTTTTTAAAATATTACCAACTGCTAGGTGCAGTGGCACATACCTTAATCCCTGCAGTCTGGGAAGCCGAGGCAGGAGGACTGCAAATTCTAGCCCAGCATGGGACACTAAGTGAGACCCTGTTTCAAAATAAAAAACAAAATGACTGAGGATGTAGCTCAGAGCAAAGACCCTGGATTCACTTTCTAGTACGGGGGTACGGGTGTGTGTGTGTGTGTGTGTGTGTGTGTGTGTGTGTGT